AAAAAAAAAAAAGGAAAAATAACGAATAATGATAATGCTCGTTTGCAATACTGTGTATGAAATACCTCTGTACTTCCGGCTCGATTTGCCCAGTAGAACAAACATCGTAACTATTGTCCGTTCTCTCGGCAATTTTACAGCGTCTCTCGACTCGATTCGCCAGTTTACACGAAGTCACGGACTTGGAACGAAGAATATCGGACTGTAAGGATGCGGATGTAGTCGGTGAATTTAAGGAATAACAACGATACGTTTCTTGAGCTGAACCTTGGTCGCCAGCATGGTCCATAAACGAGGCAGCCAGATCATTGTTGATGGACAGTGTGGACATCATATCGCTCATCCCCGCGGAATCACCGCAATTTCTTATCGGGTGTCCATCGTTTCTCGGATTGGCATTTACTTGAATTTCAACCTCGTCGTTTAATGTTTCCGCGTAAATTGCCGGATTGATGAACCGGACTTCCCTGCCGGATCTACAACTCGCAGGAATCGTGCCGTAGCGAATCAGTCCGTTACTTCGAGAGCTTATCCTCTCGCAATCATCGATGGACGGGAAATTTTCTGAACGATCGCTGCTGAGCAGGCATACATCGTTTCTGCTTTCAGCATCGTTTATCGTCTGCATCTCATTCGTATCATCTCCTCTCTTACAATCATACCAGCTGTCAATCTCGCTGTCAAACATCGTCAAGTGTCAATCCTTTCAATCCCGATGATGGCAATTAGTGCACGATGAAGGTTACAACAGACAAAAGTATATCGAAATTTAAACAACTTGTCACATATCGTTGGCTTCCGGGGATTACGCGCGCTTTGATTAATCCCTTCGAGCCCCGCTGGAACTCATGCACGCATATTCGTCCATGTTTTCATGCAACGATGCTGCACTTTTCATTTGTACAAACAATAACGAATTCTCGTTAGCGATCTATCACTATGACCATGCTTCAACGTGAAATTTACTGATTTGTACAAATTTATGTTGGCGCGATAACTAATGATATCGAGTCTTTAATCTCGTGATTCACTGCTAGGTGGCGTCGCCATGCCCGAAATGGAACATTTTACATTAATTGTACAATTGTTCAATTACACGGGAATAAACATCGTACAAAGAATTTTTTTGCGAGATGTTAAAACTTTAATATTCCCAAAATTCAGCCGATAACGCAAGAAAAATAATTTTTCCCAATTTTGATACGAGGAGCGACAATTTTATTTGCAAAAAAAAAAAAAATACTAATTAAAAAAATTAATTTCCGAATTTTTTAAATTGCATCTTTCTAGTTAAAGTTTCAGCTTAATATCTCCGAATAAATGGGAGCGTTCATTCGAATATTTAATTTCTAAATACATTCAAAGAACGTTGAACTAATTTACTTTTTAAAGGTAATGATATGCATATAGTTTATTCACCGAAGTCTTTATTTGTCCCTTAAATTATTTCTGTATTTTCTTATATTAACTTGTGCTTGATCGACATATCACTTAATTGGTAATTTAAAACGAATCGTGATCTCGGAGAAATTAACGTTCCATTGATATAATATTTCTTAAGTTCGATTCAGTCGCATTATTCTGTCGCGTGATCATAAGATACTCTTCTGTAATTTCCTCTGCTTGTACCTTATTAAAATACGTTTCCCGCTCTTGATGTACGTAATATGTATCGTCGAAGTTAAAGTGTAATCCGAGTACGATGTTCAGTGCAGAAGCGTCATATGCGTGACAACCGGAATACCGGTATTGTGGTTTCTTATTAAATCGGCAACCCGCTGATTGAGCTCCTATGATAAGACACTCGAATTATTATATATCTAATTTTAATATATGTAAAAAATCATTCTGAACGTATACGTATACCAATAGGAGAAATACAATCTCTTGTTAGTGCGCATTGAACCCATGGCAACATTACTTTTTCTCTAATTTCTTTAACGTTTCTAATTACTAAATGTGATGCTCTTATTAAAGGAAGAAAAAAGAAACTTTCTGCAGAAACATGGAAATACTCATACATCTTTGGATGTGTTAAAGAGCTAATTGCATGCCTTGTAGGCCAAGTTAAAATTCCAGATTTTGGTAAAAGATACTTTGAAATGTCTGAAGAGTTTAAACGCATGTTAGAATCCATGTACAATATGTTTCCTAACGTGTTTAAAGCTGTCTGTAACATATAAAAAAAATCAATTTCCAAAATCTATTTTGCACGTAGATGTTATTACTTATAAAAATCCAGTTACCTGAATAACTAGAGGTCTATAAACATGTAACCTATCATCTTCAACATGGGCTGGAAATAGACTTATATCAAAATGAATCACATTACACTTTGTAGAATTACAAGCTATTCTAATAGTTTGCAGAGAGTCCTCATTTAATCCAACACTATATATAACAATACTGTTATTTGGCAAAAAATGACTGATATTTCTCACAAAACCATAAATGTGTTGCTCATTTCCAGGCCTAATAAGAGATACAACAGTCACATTTTGAGATTTAAAACTAAAAGGTGTTGTGCTTGTTTGTCCATCAAGACCAAGCATTGCAAGATACTTGGAATCTGTTACCAAGCGTTTCTCTTCAACATCTTTCAAATTTTCCTACAAAAATTACAGTATGAAAAAACTTAATAGTAACCATTGTTTTATCAATAGTAATTAATAATTAAAAATTAATCGCATATTATAGAAGCATTTACTTGGAAGTTTCGTAACTGCTTGTGTGTCTCTGTAACTAGAGTCTGTATGGAAGGTCGTTGATTGCTGAAAGCAATGAAAATGATGCTGCTCCCTGCTATGCAGATAAGCAACAGTAGCAGGCCCTTGGTACGCATCTCTCATCATTTAATCAAATATATTTCCAATTTTTGGACAATAATTAAGTAAATACGTTATGTTAGAAACATTACACATAGGTTATACATCGTCAATGACATGAGTGACATTTATAAAAATCATATCATTTTAACTGATATATATTGCTGTTATACAACCATCAAAAGAAAAGTTTGACAAGTCCATTTCGTGAAAATAATAGTTTAAATTTTTCAACAGATTAGATTAAATTACGTTTTCCTTGATAACTAAACACTATAAGTGCTCTAGCAGACGCCGCATTTTTAGGAACTTTTTGCTTTAAAGACAGCTCTGCAGGATGACATGCAACTGTCTAATTGTATTCCTAAACATTACAATATCTTACAAAAGTTAATTTTAATAAAATAAGATTCCATCAATTTTTTAGAGAATATAATTTTACTCTAACTTGGATATGATTTTCATTTCTTAAATCTGTATATTATTGAACAAACTTAATTAACTCTGGTATTAAATGTTTTCATATATACAGATCCTATAAAAGTTCCTATACAGCAAAATATATTTGCAATTTATATTAATTCTAATATCATCATAACATTATAAAACATTTAAAACTATATATTATATAATATAAACAAAATACAATAATCACACAAGTGTATGTGATAAGTATATGAAATATTTTAATATCAGTAATTTATTGAAGAATCTTTTATAAATTAATTTGTCTACAATCAAAAAAAATTTTTCAATGGGAAATTTTTCAATATAATCTTTATTTTTTTTTATTCAATAAAACTTGCTTTTATTACAATTCTGCTTTCTTTTTGTGTAAAACAGTACATAATTTTATATTTTGATTTCATAATCTTATTAAAATATATATAATTTATTAAAATGTATTCAAATGAAAAAAAAAAACAAATAATATTGATCTATTCTACCAATGGGAAAAGCATATGGCTAGTGATATTTTTATAAAGTAAATATGTACACACACACAAACACATGCACACACTTGTTTCAAGATTCTAACGAATAAAAGAATGAAAATATGATTCTAAAATTTAATATTAATTCTTATCCTTTATGTTTGGTGTTAGCAGTTCTTATTTTTTGAGATTTAAATGCAATAAAAAAATGTGGATGAACATTATGTGATTCTACATTCGATATTTATAAAATAATAAAAGGAAAAGATTTTGGAGTTTGCATAAAGTAAATAATAATATTGACGTATTTATTATAGTTAACTGATATTTTTTAAAATAATATTTTATTAATAAGATATATCTAAATGTTTTGGAAGTAATTTTGTATACAAGTATTAGAAAAATATTCTGTATTGATTGTGAGTAAAAGGCATTGTCACTTATTTTATTGCATATAATTTTTTTTTACATTAGACTACCTATACGCAAAGAAATATGTTATGTTGCAGGATTCTATTCTGTGATATATTACTATTAAATTTATGATGGAAGAAGTAATAGGTTAAAAATGAAGCTGTATAAATTGATAGTTCATCAAAAAACTTTTAGTGAGGAAGATTTAATAATCAACCCAAAAGATCATCCTAATATAAAAACTGGAGATGTTGTTGAAATTTATCATCCAGAAGATGAATTTAGTCGTCTACTTCTTCAAGTTACATCCTTTAAAGAAGATTTGCAAGGAAGGGAGACAATTAGTGTGGAAAACAATGTAGCCACAATGTTTCAATTAAGAACATTTGCAGATGTTTATATGAATGTTGTTAATCCAGATAATGTAGCTTTGGATTCTGTTGAGCTTACGTTTAAAGATCAATATTTGGGTCGTAGTGAAATGTGGCGTTTGAAAAATAGCTTGGTAAAATAAATTATTTATTTTTCAATTTGTATTTAAGTATTCTAATGTTTGTTCTTATCTTTTATGTAATTTTTATGTCAGGTGAATACTTGTGTATATATGAATAAGAAGATTGAATTCTGTGGAGGTAGTATAAGGTGTCAAGTATATGAAATGTGGTCACAAGGCGATAGAGTTGCCTGTGGTGTGATAACTAATGATACTAAGGTTTATATTTGAATATAATAAAAAGAAAGTATCTGTAAAAGTATCTGTCTCTTAAATTTTTATTTAAATTTGTATTTTAGGTTGTGTTTCGCTCTTCAACAAGTATGGTATATCTTTTTATTCAAATGAGTTCAGAAATGTGGGATTTTGACATTCATGGTGACTTATATTTTGAAAAAGCTGTTAATGGATTTTTAGCTGATTTATTTCAAAAATGGAGGAAAAATGGTAGTAATCATGAAGTAACAATAGTTCTATTCTCGAGAACATTTTATAATGCCAACAGTCTGGAAGAATTTCCAAATCATATGCGTGAATGTTTACAACATGATTATAGAGGAAGATTTTATGAAGATTTCTATAGAGTGGTAGTTCAAAATGAAAGATTTGAAGATTGGAGTAACGTGTTGGTGCAATTACGTAAACTATTTACAGATTATCAGAAAATTGTATTAGAATATCATCAAAAACCAGATGTTTCTATACCAAAAGCAATGAATTCAACAGCTGCACAAGGCAATTTTTTAGAAGTTCTAAATATGTCTCTAAATGGTAATATTTAAATATAGATAGTTAAATTTATTATAAAATATTTTGTTTAATTTAGACCATTTGCAGTGTTTGAGAAACACTATTTGGATCGTAGTTTTGATAGAACTGGTCAATTATCAGTAGTAATTACACCTGGTGTAGGTGTTTTTGAAGTTGATAGAGAGTTAACAAATGTTACAAAACAAAGAATCATTGATAACGGAGTTGGTAGTGATTTGGTATGTGTTGGAGAACAACCATTACATGCAGTTCCTTTATTAAAGGTATTTCTACTTAAAATATTATATAGTAATAATAATATATAAATATTAATATTTATAATATAATTGTAGTTTCATAACAAAGATACATCCATCAATGCACCTGATGACTATAGCATGCCACATTGGATCAATCTCAGTTTTTACTCCACAAATAAAAAAATTCCTTATTCAACATTTATACCGCGTATAAAACTTCCTCAACGGGTATCGAAACAATCGATGGAAAATGGAAAATTGCAATGTAAAAGTAAACTTTTGCAAGAAGATCCGAACGAATGTTTACATAATACTTTGTTTGACTATGATGCATATGATGCACAGGTTTTTCAACTACCTTCAGTCCATACATCAAGGTAAATTCAATGTTAAGTTAAATGTTAAAAGTTTAAAACCAAAGATTCTAATTTAAAATTTTATGTAAGTAGTTTGCAACGAGTTACAACAAGGACTAAAAAAACAAGTGTTGCTAGCATGGAAACACATAATAACGCACATATATTAAAACTTTTGAAAAGAAAAATGTCAGATCCTGATATACATCACCCACCACCAGAATCTCATTCACCTCCAGCTGCAACAAGAAGTGCAGCAATCTCAATACCTTCCAGAACAGATGATATAGCTAGCAGTGAATCCAATGAAGAAGTTAATGGTATGCATTCAAATTATTTATATAAATTATACGTATTAATAAAATATTGAAAAATAACATTGAATATTTGTATATTATATAGAATCGAGGATATCAGTAAAAAGTGATTTAACCGATTCGGAAATATCACCGCCATTTAGGCCGGTTGTTGGTAGTGCTGGGAGCCCTACAAATACAATATCTCAACCTACAACTATTAGACCTAGTAGAGCTCTTATTAATCCTTTTGATCCATCCCATGTTACAATTAAATTAACTAGTAATAGACGGAGATGGACACATATTTTTCCCAAAGGTAATTATTGATAAAAACAAGGAATGATATAACTATTTAAATTTAATTGATATTGTAGGACCAACAGGTGTGCTTATACAGCAACACCACTATCAAGCTGTGCCAACAAAAATGTGTTCAGAATCACAATCTGATGCTACTTCCACTATAAGTGGTTCCCCTATGGAACATGACATCTCTAACTCAAATCAATTTCAAGATCGTTAGTATTACATATAAAATATTTAAGTTGTGTTTTATTATAATATACTATCACAACTATGTTTTTCATAGACACAAAAAATAAACCACTAAGATTAAATCTTTCATTATCAAGTGCTGATAAAAGTGGGAATCCAATATCTTCTACAGGCAATAAATCTTTAACATTATTATGGGGTGCTACTGGTGAACAGGAATGGACACCAGCACTTACAACAGGTTTGCATATATTGCATTATTATATATTTACATATGTAGATATATGATATATAATATATAATATATATATA